GTATAGATCTATTTCAAGCTATTTAGCTCGATTCCCAGTAAGGGTATGGCTAGCTGATGAGAGCTAAATAGCTTGAAATAGATCTATACTAGTCTCCCTTTATTTATTTATCAGCACAAATATAACACACATATATATATATATATGTTATAACAAAAATGTTATTTCATGGTAGGTTCAAAAGGTTATGACAGACTGAGCTCAATTATATCCAATATATTGCTTTCTAAGCAATTTTAAAAGATAACTTTCTTCTAGTATGTAGCTCAGATGCTATTTATGCCAATTTAATTCCAAAAAGCTGCTATTCTACATTCTGTACAAATTCCGTAAGGATTTAATATGAAGCTAATTTGTAGCTCTGGCAATAAACATTTATAAAATATTGAAGATTCTCAGTCATTCAGGTAGAGTTGTCTGGAAGTTGGGCCATGGCAAGTGGACTTCTTTTCTTGCTGGTCACTTGTTCTCTCAGTAGCTTCTATAGTCTGAGCAAGTTGGTTAGGGAAACCTAACCCAATTTGGGTTGGCTTGTTAGGCAAGTAGACAGAGAGTTGTTTGGATGATGGAACATTTATATCCAAAAAACTCTCCGTCTATTCACCTAATGAACCTAACCAGATTAGATGAGAGATGAAACCACCCTCAAGGATATATATGGGAACCCCTAATTAACTTGCTCAGATTGGAAGAAGCTATTTGGTTAAGCAGCGGATTGTTTTCAACCATCAAGAAAAGAAGTCTAATTACCATGACTCGGCTTCCAGTAAATGTTTGTAAAGCTGCCTGTTTCTGAAATACATTTAGTCTATTCCAGTGGTTCTCAACCTTTTCTTACCCTTTAAATACCTTTTGTGGCCACGGACCATGGCCAGGTACCACCATGGCCATGGATCACCAAGACTTAACTCAGAATTTAAATAATAACATTTCTTCAAGCCTTCGGGGACCCCACTGATTGAGAATCACTGCTCTACTTTATATCCAGGCAATGAATGAATAAAAATGGTATAGTAATAAAAGTTTTTTATTATGAATATTTTGAAAGCCTGAGGGAAGCGTGGCACGACAAAACCGCGGTCCACTAAAGCGCGCCCGATTAAAGCGCGTACCTGACGTCATCAGCAGCGCGACAAATACGACCGCGGAGAAAAAAGGGCGCTTTAAAAAGCGCTTTTAAAGCAAGCCAATTCATGTAAAGGTAAGGGTTAGGTTTAGGGTTAGGGTTAGGGTTAGGTTAAGGGTTAGGGTTAGGTTTAGGGTTACGTTAAGCGTTAGGATTAGGTTTAGGGTTAGGTTAAGGGTTAGCGTTAGGTTTAGCATTAGGTTAAGGGTTAGGTTTAGGGTTACGTTTGGGGGGGTTAGGGTAAGGTTTTCGCGTTAATTTTAACTTTACCGCTCACAGCGTGATGTTTTCATCGCGCTGTGATGACATCAGGTACGCACTTTCGTCGAGCGCGCTTTAGTCTACCGCGGTTTTGTGGTGGAACCGAGGGAAGTACACAAAACCTAGCAACCAATAATATTGGATCATAGCATGTTATACCAACGTTGTTTCAACTTGCAATTAAATAATATTTAATTATATTTAATATAATTTATAATATAATAATTGTAATATTAATGTTGAATCAAAGCAAAACCCTAACTCGATACAAACTGGTAAGCCCTATCTTACCCCCCTCCTGAAAAATTCTCTGAGCGTCCTCTATTTTAAACTTGATGTTATCAAAAGAGAGTTGCATTTTGATTAAGAAAATCATCTTTTATTCCAATTCAATCAGATTAGCCAAAATTAGTTGAAGATTTACTGATTCCAGTGGTTTAAACATGGTAACCTATGTGTCCTATATCTTTTTGTGCTGTTGTGTTTGCATTCAGACTAAGATTAGCTTCTTGATGGTATAAATAAATCTGAGGAATCATTTCCCAACTTTTCCTTGTGCTTGGGAAGGCATAGAACACTGATTGTGTCTTCTTCCATTCTCCTTCCCATTTGTATTTGCATTCAGATTCTGCAATGAGAACAGTCCATGCCCATTACCAATCTTCTGGTCTTCATGGGGCCCTTGGAATAAATGTAGTGCAAACTGCGGTGGAGGCATGCACTCTAGGCAGAGGTCCTGTGAGAATGGAAACTCTTGCCCAGGCTGTGCTGTGGTATGTTTTCTAGTTAAAACAATTTGATATTGCTTTGTTGGATTACTTTGTCTCTCTTCAGCTTCATCTCAGATGTGCTACAGGAGAAAAAGAAAAAAAGAATATCTCAAGATATCTCATAAATCCTGTATGACCCAGGAGAAAAAGAAATTAAAACATCTGTTTTTGGAGAGACTTTATCATCTCTCAACTTCTAAAATCAACAGTAGTTTTAATTAATTTTAATTTCAAAATTAGTCTGAAACAAGGCTTACATCCTATCACAATGTAGAGCTAGTAACAACATTTCCTGGATATGCCTTGTTATCTTGACTGTTCTGCAAATAATCACTCAAATTAATTGTTGACGATATAGGTACAGTTACTGCACTCCAGAATTTTTCTCTTATTAGATATATTGATAATAACGGAGAGTGAAGGACTGGCCTGCTCAGGTGTTTTGTCTTGTTCAACCTAGACAGTCAATTCAAGCCTATGTACATCTTTCAAGAGAAGATGCCATACCAAATCAGAAAGTTGACTTAAAGAATAAGGGACTCTCCTAAGAAATAATATGTGATTGGATGCAAACAGCAGTAAATTGATTCTTGAGATACAAGGTGCTTCTGCTGCTTTAAAGGAGATAGTGGTGTGTCAGTTCTTCAGTGGTTCAAGATAATTTTTCATCCCATCTCCAACCTTCCCTTTCTCAGTAAGGTTGTTGAGAAGTTCCAGAGCACCCTTAAGTAACAAATTATCTGGACCCATTGCAATTGGACAGAGCCACTACTTGATCACACTTGCTGATGACTCTCTGTGCATCCAGGATGGAAATGGTGAAACTGTTTTGATTCTTCTTGATCTATCAGCAGTTTTTGATACCATTGATAATGGTATCTTTCTAGACCAGCTAGGAATCTGGGAATGGAAAGCCTGGTATTGCAGTGGTTCTCCTCCTTTCTCCTTAGTCTTTTCCAGTCAGTGTTTTCAGGTAGGGAGAGATTCAATCTGAAGTTTCTGCTTCAGGGTGCTTGAGGACTTGAATTTCTTCAACAAAATCATAATCTATTCACAGAAACAGATACCATTACTGATATTGTTGATATTATTTTCTGATTCCATTCTTCAAAAATTTCCTTCAATATTTTCATTGTATTACACTCTGCATCATCTGACAGGTCTATATATCTTTCCTCCTTACTCCCTTCTAGTGTCTAGTTTTTGAAATTATTAATTAATTTATGTTATGTCTTATAGAAAACTTTCTGGAATAAAAGTGTATTTAGTTTTTTTGCTATTTATTTCAATTAAATTCTTAACATTATGAATAAGATTTATTTTGTTCAGAATTAAAAGCAGACTCATAAGGCCTTTTCAAACTTGCCATCTCAAAGGTCTTTAGAAGTAGTTAATGAGCAATTTCCAAAAATGGAAGGTGAGGTTTGCGAAGTTAGTTTCCTTTAAAAATCTCCACTGTGTTTTTGAGCAATATGGCTAGTCCCATTCCATTAAAAATGGTTTTAATAGCACTACGGCCCAGAGTCTTCTTTGACTTGGGGTAGTTATGTAAAAATAATAAACAAACAAACAAACAAACAAACAAATAAATAAATAAAACATAGCAATAAATTCCTTCCTTCCCTAAACGGGAAATCTCTGAGTTACTCCAAAACATGTTGTGTTTTTGTGCTAATATTAGGCCTATTAAATATGCAATTAATGAAGCTTTATAGCAGAACTGTGTTGATTATGAAATGTTGGAACTATAACAGTTATGGGCTGGAGAGTGACAATTTTACATAGAACTATATAAATGAGTTACTGTTTTCAGTATATATATAGTTTGGTCATAGGACATGTTTGAGAACGTTCTTTACAAAGCAGAAAGAATTTAGCATTTTTTCCTACTTCTCCCAGGGATGTTTGGGAGAAATTGAATACCCCTGGCCCTCAAAGTGATATAAATGTTATTTTTGTGGTAAGAAGCTAAATGGGTACCCCCTAGAACATGGTCCTCAAACTACAGCCCATGGACCAGATGTGGCCCGCCGAAGCCATTAATCAAGCCTATTCAGGACCACAAGGCTTCCCCCACCCACATCACCCTGCCCACCCTTCAGCTGAGTACAGGACTTACCTTCACAAGCCCTGCAGGCTGGAAATGAAAGGTGAGGCCAACAAGTTTGGCCTGCAGAATGCTTCTGGAGGTGAGAGGTGAAAAATGGCCCATTTTTCACCTCCCCCACCTCCAGAAGATAGATAGATAGAGAGAGACAGACAGAGCAGGGGTGCACTCTGGCAGGCATTATTGCCAGTTCACTTGTGTGTGTGCTTCATGTGCGTGCGCTTGAGACCCACTGTGCACACATGCACAGTGCAATTAAAATTGTTCTGCGCATGCTCAGAACTGAAAAACAAGATGGTGGCACTAACTGCGGTAATTGGGGAACCAGTTCCAGTGATCCAGGCCACCAAACCACTACCAGTTCAGCCAAACCAGGCCGAACTGGTAGGAACCCACCACTGAAACAAAGACAGAGGGAGGGAGAGAGTGAAAGAAAGAAAGAGATAGAGAAAGACAGAGAGATTTTTCAAGCTCCTTGGGGCTGAGAAAAATTACTGCAAAACTGAGTTTCCTGAAGTGGACCACTGGACTCCTAAACAACTAAAAAAACGATCTAGTAGAAAGAAAAAGCAACCAAAAGAGCAACATGCAAACAAAAGCAAATAAAACACCACCAGGAGCAAATCAAATTAAACTTTAATTTGTATGCATTGTTCAATGGACTGTTAAATTGGCCACACCCACCAAGTTACATGACCTAGCCACACCCATCCAGTCACATGACCACCTAGCCACGCCCACCCAGCCAATCCGGACCCCCTAACAGTCTGAGGGATCGTGAATTGGCCCCCTGTTTAAAAAGTGCGGACCCTGCTCTAGAAGAAGCATGATGAAAAATAATATTAAACTGTTGTATTTTTCTAATTTATTTAACAGAATAACAGAGTTGGGGAGAGATCTTTGAGTCTTCTAGTCCAATTCCCTGCTCAAGTACCATTCCCAACAAATACATTGTCCAATCTTTTCTTAAAAACTTTCAGTGTTGGAGCACCCACAGCTTCTGGAAGCAAATCGTTCCACTGATTAATTTTCTGTCAGGAAATTTTCCTTAGTTCTAGGTTGGTCCTCTCCTTGATTACTTTCCATCCATTGCTTCTTGTCTTGCCTTCAGGTGCTTTTTTTAAATTTATTTTTATCTTGTGAGTAGAAACTGTTTACAGGAACACAACACAACTGTTTCTCTTATGCTTTTCTAAGACTCTGTCTTCAAATGGAAGCTGGGTTTGACTTGGCATCGGTATTTTTATCCAAAGAATATTTTTTACAAAGCATTAACAAAGAATAGCATTCAATCATGAGAATCTGTTTGTGAAGTGACAACCCCAAATGTTTTACCACCTTAGTGAAAGCTCAGACCTGCCTATAAAATTTGTGTATATGTGCCTGAGCAATGTATATTATTCAGCTATGGTCTGCCACCTCAATATTATATTATATTAATTAAAGCACTGGGAGCAATAAGAGAACTTGTTTTATATGCCTTCTGAGCTTTATTTCTGCCTCAACAATTTCTGTATTTTTAATCAAATATTCCAGATTTATCTGATGACTCCTTAAATTGTGGAGTACCCCAGGGTAGTGGTAAACTTGTATTTCCCCAACCAAATGTTAAAGACTATGGTTTGATCTTCCCCTTTTTCCCTTCTCTTGCTTTCTATAGGAGTACAAAACCTGCAGCCCAGAGGCCTGCCCAGAAGTCCGGAGAAGCACACCCTGGACCCCTTGGACCCCTACCAATATTACTCAAAGTGGGGCCCGCCAAGAGCAGCGCTTCCGTTACACCTGTCGTGCTCAGCTGGCTGACCCCCATGACCTACAGTTTGGCAGAAAGAAGACAGAGAGTCGGTTTTGCCCCAATGATGGCTCCGCAGTTTGTGACACAGATTGTATGTCTTGCCAGAAGGCAGACAACTTTAATCTCCTTGTTTCAGATAGGGGAAGCCTGGGTGGATGAGACAGAGGTTGGATAAGCACCAACCTGGGCTGCTAGTAGAAGAGCAGATCAAAGCCAGCTGGTAGAGATGATGAATTCTAGGAAATTAGAATGCATGAAACTCAAAGGATGCAGTGGGAGCTTCTTAATTTCTTTGTTTATAAAGGCGCCCATCTCAAAATTCTCCAGGAGCATAAGAATTACTTTTACTAAGTATAATCACTCCCAGTACATAAGTTGATTAGCTGATTAATCATCCCATATGCTACTTGTACTTACTTATTTTGTGAGTGTTTTATTGTTTTAATGTTTTTAAAATTGTTTTGTTTTATAATTTTAAAATAGTAAGTTGCCCAGAGTCACTTGTAGGTATGGGCAGCTATAGAAATTTATTGATTGAATGAATGAATGAATCAATCAATCAATCAATTTACATCAGGTATCCCAGAAGAAACTGGCAGTGAGTGTCACATTCTGATTACATGTAAAAGTATTGTAATCAGAATTATCTATAATAGTGGCTCCCCAATGTTTTGGGCGGCAGAGACCGGTTCCCGGAGGGGATGTTTTCTGCAGACTGAAGGGAGGCATGGTTTCGTCCACTGCCTGGATCCCATAGCTACATGGATGTTTTGCTCATTTATGCAGACTGATTCCTAATGAACCATGGGCCAATACCAGTCTGTGGGCTGGGAATTGGGGACCCGTGGTCTACAGTATGAAGTGACTAGATGAAATCTTTTTGTTTGTCTACTTACCGAACTTCCATTCTTTTTGCTCATTATTTGATGAGCAGAGCCTTTATTTGCAATAATGTGCACGTTTGCAGGCTTGACATGTTTTTAAAAGGGCAAGGCTTCATTTTATGGGAACAGCCATGAGAAACATTTATGAATTTATATGTGATTGGGATTTCTTTGTCACTTAGATGACAAAGCATTTATTAAGTGTCCTAATATACTTTCCAGAAGTATTCTGTCTCTGGTTCACATAGGCTAGTAAACTGCATCCTTGGGGGTCTCCTGTGTATTTATTAAGTCATTTGCCAACAGATAGACTTTATCATCAACAACTGACCAAAAAGACATTTCAAGATCATGATGAAAAACTCAATTAAGAAATCATTGGTTGTGGGAAAGGCAATTTCCATGCTAGGAATCAGAGGGGAGATTCGTAAAATCTTAGCTATCAGTATCTTATATACTCAATAGGATATATTTTGCACAGTTTTGGTTGCTGTGTCCCCAAATGATACCATATTGCTGAAAGAATCAGAAAGAGTTCCAAAGCAGCCTGATGCCTGAGAAAACTCCATTATAAGGAAAGATTTGCATCTTTTAGTTTAGGAAAAGAAGGAATAATGAGAGAATTATTAAATATTACTTATATAATGCTGAAACATGTTTGAAAGATAAGGATAATTTCTTAAATATTGTATAACTAAGGTGGGTATAATTATGCTACCACAAGATTGTAGCATTGGTTTGTTTTCTATTCGTTCTTCTCATTTCTGCTGGCTGAGTATTTTGGGAACAGGATGGTTGATGAGATATCTTTTCCACCAAAACTGTTAAATTTTGTCCTAGTTTTTCCCAGAGGTAATCATGCCATCTCCTTTATGATGTCTTCATTAATGTAAAGAATGTAATTATTTTATTATCAGTGTGTGCTATCAAAGCATAAAAATGTAGATGAGATCCTTTCTCTGGTGCTTACTCAGCACCAGACGTTGGCAGAAAATCAGAACTAAAATGGTTCTTGCCTTGGGAGTGCAGTACTAAGGAAGGTGGACATATATTAGTTAAGAAGACCAAGCTGAATTTGATCTATGACATACCTCAGGAAGAGGAAATGGAAACTGTGCTTCAAAATTAAGGTAGCTGATCTATCAATATCTAATGAGATATATCCTGAATTATTTAACAACTTATTTTAATTTATTATAATGGTTAACAGCTCATAATTTCTGATTGCCTTTGTACAGGAGGCCAGTTTCTAAAAAATGTAGGCACAAGCTTTTCCTCTTATTTATTTATTGATTTCATTCTGCCCATTTGTGTAAGATCAGATTACAACCTGGCCAGTAATTTTTGCTGCCCGGGTCAGGATCTCCTTGCCCTGTTTTCAAGAAAGAGAGGTGGAAAGAGTATACCCTCTTTTCAGTATATCCGGTTTTTATGGTGCCTTAAGCATTGCATTAAACTGCAAAACTTTGAACTTGGAGCAGAGTTAAAAACAAAACAAAAAAGAGGGCCAAGAGATGATTTACAATGCTTTGCCTGCTTGAAATGGAGATCAGATGTAATTCATTGTGTAATAGAGAAAGTTGTAGCTTGTCCCATTACCAGAAGGACATTAGATGTCCATCCTATCAGCTTTGCCTGGATTTTCTGTGTATATATTGTTGCCCTACTAGTATATTTAATTGCCACCTTTTATTTCTCTCCCCAACTAGCTCTAGTTGATGATCTTCTGAAGAGTGGCAAGACCTCTATCCGGATTATCAATGGTGGCTGGTCCTTTTGGGGTGGATGGTCATCTTGTACCAGGGATTGTGAACTGGGCTTCAGAACCAGGAAGCGAATGTGCACCAATCCAGAACCCAAGAATGGTGGTGTTCCTTGCATAGGATCAGCAATGGAATATCAGGATTGTAACCCACACCCTTGCCCAGGTAAGCCTTTTTTTATTTAGCATGTAAGCAAGAATATTGGTATTGAAAGCATTGGACCACCTCTCTACAAAATGACTTGTATTGTTTCACTGTACCATCCTAATTTCCCAGGCTGGTCTAAAATATTCAGACCAGAGGTGGGTTCCTACCGGTTCGGACCGGTTTGGCCAAATAGGTAGTAACTCGACCGGACAAGTAACCCTACTAGTTTTATCCTGGGTGCCTCCATCTTTATTTTCTGTTCTGCACATGCGTAGAATAATCTTCATTGAAAAAATGTAATCCCCCTCCCTTTTTTTAATGGTGTGCACATGCCAGTCCCAGAGAACTCCCAAAGATGGGCTGTTTTTTGCAAAAACGGAGGTGTTTTTGCCTTCTCCCAGCCCTGCTGAAGCCTGCAGAGTGTTCCTGGGGGCTAGGGAGGACAAAAACATTTTTTTCTTACTGGGTAGTTTGCAAGCGCTCCCTTAGGTCCAGCAAGGCTGGAGCCCCCTCCCCTCTGTCAAAACTTTTCACCGTCATTTTAATGAAAATGGCTTGGGGAGGGGGTCATGTGACTGAGTGTGTGTGAGTGATGTCAAGTTGGCCACGCACACTCAGTCACATGCCCCCCCATCTAGCCACACCCACCAAACCGGTAGTAAAAAAATTTGAAACCCACCCCTGATTCTGACCACTATGACAGCATACTGCCTGCATTTAAAAACAATATCACAGTTGCTACTACTCCAGAATAGTTCAGATTGATCCTTTCTTTACTGGTATTGGCATTTTCACACGGAACAAAGTGCTTTGTCAATTGCAGTGGTTCATACATTAAAATATTGATTTTAATCCTTAAAACTCTATATTGCTCATGGTCAGATTTTCTCAAAGACTGTTTCCCCATGTATTTACCTACTTGTACTATTAAGGTCTTCTTTTGAGGTTTTCTCTGAATGCATTGACTAAGTAAAACAAGGGAAATAATGTCTTAGACAGGGAAAATATGTTCAGAAGTATTTTTGGAGGTAGTGTCCTTGTTGCAGCCACCTGGACCCTTATTCCCCTTTTACCACGCTATTGGGGAAAGAAGATACTCTACCTCCCTGGTTCCACGTTGGCTCTGTTTTGCCTATTTTGACTGCTGTGTTTCTGACCCACGAACTTACGAACTTATGTACGGACTCACTCGCACAATACCATCATCTTTTCTAACAACTGTGCAACCCTTCTCTTTCGTGTGTGGTATGTATGTGTATGTTTGTGAGCGAATGAATCCCACTTTCTTTTAAATTAGTTTAATCCCTATTTTATTATTATATTGT